ATATATATATATATATATATATTCAAGAGAGAACTGATTAGTTTATGTTAACTGTGAGATCCAATTTCAATCATATATATCAAAGAATAAATTAGGAAATTAGTAATTTTGGTAATTTGAGTTAAAATTATAATTAGAGGCCAGTTTAGGTATTTTTAAAATCTCCTCTCTCCTCTCTCCGACCTCGGATCTCCGGCCTCCGATGAACATTATTTTGGCCGATATCAAGTAATCACTGTGATACCCAATGTGATACCCATTGTGGTATCGTTGTGATACCGACTACGATACAACCCAAACCTTAAAAACAAAATCAAATCCATAATCTAAATTTAAGGAATACATACAGATCATCCACGTTGTGATACCCAAAATACATATAAGATGCACTATGATACCCAATGTAATTGGGGTACCGCTCACACAAACTATATTAACACTGTGATACTAAACCTTAATACTCAAAACCTTAAGCATATACTTCTTATAAACAGGATGAGGTGATGTTGGTCCGGGTGGGATGCCTTATTTGTCTTGGATCTTAGCCTTCACATTTTCGATCGTATCGAAGTACGTGCAACGTGACCATCGTGGTCACGACGGTCAACAGAGCAGAGCGGGAAGATTCAACTCAAACATAAATGGCTTCTTCCTGTCCTTAATTTCCAATCCTAACTACTCCCTGTCACAGCTACTGGTTGCGTTTTATAACCAGTATGTACCGAACTCTCGACGACAAAATTTAAAACGCCATCATCACTGGAAGGATAAAACAACGCCAGAAAGTTATTAGACGCACCTTTATTCTCCACATCGGCCGGTGAAAATGTGGTGGCGCAGAAGTTCATCTCGGAGACTAAAGGCAGTTTCGTTGTACGCTCGGGCGACCTCCGTCGTATCAATGTTCCAAGCCTCCATCGAGTTTTTTTTCCACGAATCACAATCATCTTGTTTTTCTCCGATTCGACTACATCGTCTGTGCTGTTTTGTTGAATATGGTGAATGGTCGTGGGGGATGGGATGATTCACCAAATATGATGAGCGGTCATCGGGGGATGGGATTGGCGGAGAGCAAATTCGGTGAGGAGAGGGATGAAAGACGTGGACTTCCAAATAGGACATTTAAGGTAAATTCAAATCAATTAGTTAAGTGTGAATTGAAAAATTAATGATTTGATTTGTTATAAAAAACCAACCATTTAGGGTAAA